ATACAGAAGGCCACTACATAATGATAAAAGGCTCAATCCATCAACAAGAAATATCTATCCTAAACATATATGCACCCAACATAGGTGCACCAACTTTCATAAAGCAACTTCTAGGAAAACTAAAGAAAGATATTGACTCTAACACCATCATAACTGGGGACTTTAATACCCCACTCACAACCCTAGACAGATCATCAGGACAAAAAATCAGCAAGGAGATGCAGAACCTCAATGTGACTTTGGACCAAATGGACTTAATTGATACCTACAGAACACTCCATCGAAGGACCACAGAATATACATTCTACTCATCACCGCATGGAACGTATTCTAAGATCAACCACATATTGGCCATAAATCAAGCATAAGCAAATTTAAAAGGACCGAAATGCTACCATGCACCTTCTCTGACCACACTGGAATAAAAACAAACATTGACACCAACAAAGTCCCCCCAAAACCCACAAAGACATGGACACTAAACAGCATGATACTGAACAATTCGTGGGTCAATGATGAAATCAAAACAGAGATCAAAAGATAGCTGGAAACAAATGAAAATGAAGAAACATCTTACCAAAACCTTTGGGATGCCTTGAAAGCGGTAGTAAGAGGGGAATTTATATCCCTACAAACACACATGAAGAAAATGGAAAGAACACAAATTAACAACCTAACAAGTCACCTAAAGAAGCTGGAAAAGCAAGACCACAAAAACCCTAATTTCAGCAGAAGAATTCAAATCAAGAAAATAAAAGCCCAAATCCAGGACATAGAAGAAAAAAAGATAATACAAAAAATTAATGACAAAAAGCTGGTTCTTCAAAAGGATAAAGAAGATCAATGGTCCCCTAGCTAGACTGACCAAGAAAAAATGAGGAAAAAACCAAATAAGCACAATCAAAAACACAAAAGATGAAGTCACATCTGACCATGAAGAAATACAAAAGATCATTAGAGACTACTACATACACTTGTATGGAAACAAACTTGAAAACCTTAAGGAAATGGAGGACTTTCTGACATGACACAACCTACCTAGATTGGAACAGAAGAAATTGAGACTGTAAATAGATCAATAACAATCAAGGAAATCAACTACGTAATAAGAAAACTTCCTACAAAAAAAACCCCTGGTCCAGATGGCTTTCCAGCAGAATTCTACAAGACATTTAAGGAGGAGCTGATACCAATCCTACTGAAGGTATTCCAGGTGATTGAAAAAGATGGAACTCTCCCCAAATCATTTTACGAAGCCAACATCACATTGATACTCAAGCCAGGTAAAGATCCAACAAAGAAAGAGAACTACAAGCCAATATCTTTGATGAACATGGATGCTAAAATTCTCAACAAGATCCTAGCAAACCGAATTCAGCAATACATCGCAAAAATCATCCATCATGACCAAGTAGCTTCATCCCTGGGATGCAAGCTGGTTCAACATTTGTAAACCATAATGTATTAAATACATCACAGATGTCAAACAAAAACCACATGATTATATCATTAGATGCAGAAAAAGCTTTTGATAAATCCAGCACCCTTCTTGATAAAAACCCTTGAACATCTAGGCATACGGGGAACATACCTCAAAATAGTAAAAGCCATCTATGAAAACCCACAGCCAGCATACTCCTGAATGGACAAAAATTGGAAACATTTCCCCTGAAAACTGGAACAAGACAAGGATGCCCTCTCTCACCCCTCCTGTTAAACATAGTTTTGGAAGTCCTGGTTCAAGCAATCAGAGAAGAGAAGGCAATCAGGGGTATCCAAATAGGAAAAGAGGAAGTCAAGTCTCTCTTTGCAAATGATATGATTGTGTACCTTGAAAACCCAAGGGAATCTGTCAAAAACCTCCTTACACTGATAAAGGCCTTTGGCAAAGTCTCAGGATACAAAATAAATGTACAAAAGACAATCGCATTTCTCTACACCAATAATGAACAAACAGAAACCCAAATAAAAAGCACAATTCCATTCACAATAGCCACAAAAATATGAAATACCTTGGCATCTTCCTAACCAGAGATGTGGAAGACCTTTACAATGAAAACTACAAAACACTGCTGAAAGAAATCAAAGATGACACAAACAAGTGGAAAAATATCCCATGCTTATAGATTGGAAGAATCAACATTGTGAAGATGTCTATCTTACCTAAGACCATCTACAAATTCAGTGCAATACCCATCAAATTACCAGGAACATTTTTCTCAGACCTAGAAAAAACAACACAGGAATTCATATGGAAACACAAACATCCAAGAATAGCCAGAACAATCCTCAGCACAAAAAACAAAACAAAACAAAACAAAGCAAGTGGTATCACATTACCAGACTTCAAACTTTACTATAAAGCTACAATCATCAAAACAGCTTGGTATTGGTATAGGAAGAAGCATATAGATCAATGGAATAGAATTGAGATTCCAGATGCAAAACCTCAATTTCTCAACCAACTCATCTTCGACAAAGCCTCCACCACCTACCTCTGGGGAGAGGAGAACCTATTCTGTAAACGGTGCTGGGAAATCTGGCTGACCACATGCAGAAGGTTGAAACAGGACCCCTATCTATCCCCATGCACAAAGGTTAACTCCAAATGGATCAGAGACCTAAATGTGAAACCCCAAACCATAAGAACCTTAGAAAAATGATGGAAATACCCTCATGGAAATTGGAACTGGCCTCCAATTCCTGAACAAAACCTGAAATCCACAGGTCATAAGAGAGAAGATAGACAAGTGGGACCTTATTAAACTGACAAGCTTCTGCAAAGCCAAATAAACCATCAAGAGAGCAGGGAGACAGTCTACAGAGTGGGAAAAAGTATTTGCCAACACCAGGTCTGACAAAAGCTTAACATCCTGGATACAAGGAACTCAAATGTACTGAAAAGAAAAAAACAAACAACCACATTATAAAATGGGCAAAAGATATGAACAGACACTTCAGAAAGGAAGACATCCGAACAGCCAACAGACACATGAAGAAATGTTCAACTTCACTAATCATCAGGGAGATGCAAATCAAAACCACACTGAGATACCACCTAACCCCAGTCAGAATGGCAATCATCAACAACTAAAAAAATAACAGCTGCTGGAGAGGGTGTGGCAAAAAAGGAACACTTCTACACTGTTGGTGGGAGTGTAAACCAGTGCAACCTCTGTGGAAAGCAGTGTGGTGATTCCTAAAAGCCCTAAATATCAACCTCCCATATGACCCTGTGATCCCCCTACTGGGAATATACCCCGAAGAACTCAAATCACTCTATAAAAAAGATACTTGCACACGTATGTTTATTGCAGCATTGTTCACAACAGCAAGAACCTGGAAGCAACCATGCTGCCCATCAAAAGAGGACTGGATTTTAAAAATGTGGTATATATACGTGATGGAATACTACGCAGCCATAAAAAAAAACCAAAATCATGAATTTCGCAGCAACCTGGATGGAACTAGAGTTTATAATACTGAGTGACCTCTCATAGAAACAAAGATCCGAGTATCATAAGTCCTCACTCATATAATGGACCTTGAACATCCAATGTAATACTATAAGAAAATGACTGATGGTACTGGGAGACTATGCGGGGAGAGGGAGATGGGATTAACAGTAGCAAATATCTGTCTGGGGATGGGGAAACACCTCTTAGCAACAGGGTGCCTGAATGGAATGTAATTGTATACCTAACCCTTAACTGTACCCCACAACATCATTAAAAAAAATATTTTAAAAAAAGGACAAAAAAAGAAGAGCTATCTTCTTGTTTTAAACACATCTTGTTAACTTCAAAAATGATGATGATGATGATGATGATGATGATTATTGACTTGGAGTCTCTCTCCGTTTCCCAGGCTGGAGTGCAGTGGCATGCTCCTGGTCACTGCAGCCTCGACCTGCTGGGCTCAGGCGATCCTTCTACCTCAACCTTCCAGGTAGCCAGAACTACAGGTGCATGCAACCACATCCAGCTAATTTTTTGATTTATTGCAGAGACGAGGTCTTATCATGTTGCCCAGGCTGGTCTAGAACTCGTGGGCTTAGGCAGTCCTCTTGCTTGGGCCTCCCAATGTGCTGGGTTTATAGGTTTGAGCCATCACACCCAACCAAGATGATCAAATTAAAACAGAACATCTACCTGGAACATTTCCTGAAATTTTTTGTATACCCAAAAATAACAACACTAGAAAACTGACCATTATATCACATTCTAGTGCACAGACCCATTTGTGCAAGATTAAATAGTGTAAACTTTGGGAAGAGTCAAATCAGAGAAGAAGGCCAACACCTCAAAATCCCACTGTTGCCTCCTCATTAAGTGGGTCAAAATCCAGATCTCAAATTGATCAGTATTCATCATACATAGGAAGAAGTGAATATTAAGTTTGACAAGTAGTTGCAACCGAGATTTTAAAACTTTCTTTATATGTGTGTATATAATGATTTACAAATTTATTTCAAATTTTAGTTTAGTTTTTTAAAAATTTTTGCAGCAAAGCCCAGAGGCTTTTCATTTTCCTCTCAGGACTCATCTCTCTCCTGGCCTGACACCAGATACATGTTGTTTGTTTCATCGTGGGTAGCCAGCTAATGGTCCATTTCAAAGGGCTTTCTCTTTTCATGCTTTTTTGACTTTTTTTTTTAGTTGGAGTCTCACTCTGTTGCCCAAGTTGGAGTGCAGTAGCACTCTCATGGCCACCCCAGTGTTGACCTGCTGGGCTCTGGCGATCCTTCTGCCTCAGCCTTCCAAGTAGCTGGAACTACAGACGTGTGCTACCATGCCTAGCTAATTTTTTATTTTAATGTAGAGATGAAGGTCTTGCCAAGTTGCATGGGCTGGTCTCAAACCTGTGGGCTCAAGCAATCCACTTGCCTCAGTCTCCCAAAGTGCTGGGATTACAGGCTGAGCCACTAAGCCCAGCCCATGCCTTTTTGCTTTTTAATGTCACTGCTGTTCTTCTTCTCTTTCTTTTTTTCTTTGGGGGAGTTAGACATCAGGAGGTGCCTGATTGGTCACATTTTTCAGCACACCATCAATCCTATCACCCTCTACAAAACCACCAGCTTGTTCCAGCTGATCTGGCCCAGCTTGGGCAGCTGTCTGTTCTGCTTGCCACCCAAGAATTGGTTGATGTCCTGCAGGTGGGAGGAGAAGATCTGGCCCACATCCCCACTATCACCTTGATTTCGGGTGTGGTGCAGAGAAAAACTCATGGGTTATTCTCTCATTTATAATATAAATTTTAGAGCCGCCAACCAAGTTTTCAATCAAAGTTTATTTGAGAAGGAAGGGAGGCTAGAAAGGGAGACAATCCAGAACTGGCATGTGTGGCAGGATGCAGCAAATGCTCAAATATATTTCTTGTATGATTGAATGAATAAACACAGAAACGTGTAGCTGATTCGGGATCAGAAGTTGGCCTCATGGCAATCATCTGGGGCAGGAAAGGAGTTGATAGCAGTTAAAGTTATTTCCTTTTGAAAGGCAAGTTGCAACTTTAAGACCCGCCAGGCACCAGGCAGGTTTTGTTTAAGAAAGGCCAAATGGCCCAGAGACTGGCTGTTTCATGGAAATGGAAAAGAGTCTTATCTAAAATCCCCCTTCTGAAGTTGACGGTTTACAAGCCTGCAGTTCCTGGAAACCATATGTTCTTTGAAAAATCTGATTTTGCTGAGTACAACCTTGTAAGATTCCAAAGGAAGTATGTAATCACTCAACATGACCCCCTCCCTTACCTAAACAAGGGTATAAGACCCCACGTCTCCTGTTCTGGGGCGCTCGATTTGGACGCATGAAATTCTCGGGCCCGCTGTGCTAGCCAGCGTAATAAAGTGCTACTTCCTATAATAGTCTCAGTGTCACGATCTTTCTATTTTTTCTGCTACAGCATGGACAATGGAAACCATACCTTATGCTTCCTACAATAGACCCAATATACCTTCACAATAATTGTTATGTAAAGAAGGTGGAATCTAGGTAACTGTCACTCTGAGATTGACATCTCTGTGCTCCTGATGAGAGTAGAGAATGGAGGGGTGGTCTTTTCCTGACCACATTCACTGTTGCAGGAGACCTGCCAGACGTTTCCAATTTACAAGTTCCTGAGCTAAAAAGGTATCTTATTATCCTTTCTATGACTTTGGTTACTTAAAAGGGTGGTATTAGGCCTTCCGCCTCTACAAGGGGCCTGAACGCTTCTTAGTGATTGCTATGCTAAATCATGATTGAAAAGTTGGGTTTTCCTACTCTTACATGTGATGGAGTTTTCATTTAATTTGCCAAAGGGGTGGGGTAGACTACAGCTTGACCTGCAGTAAAATGTAACTTTTAAATGTTTGAATGATTTCTTATACCTGCCTACAGAAAACTTATCTATCTATATCTAACCTGTGCTGACTGCCCTGCCTCAACATTTGGAGCTCAGCTTCTCATCACCATAGGGCAGCCCCTTCAACAGTGTCACATCCTGTGGGTGCCTCCTCTTCCCGCCTCTCTACTGGCAGAGGATAGGGTCAGTGCACTGGAGCCAGAGGCAGCCAGCTAAAAATAGCCCACAGGCAGCTGAGGCGGTGGCTCTGGCCAGAGACCAGGAGATAGGACAGCAATGTGGCATGTGTGGCTCTATATGTGAATGCTTGCTGCTCCAGCAGAGGTGACAGGACTCACATCTTTGGTGATGGCAGGCACTGGCAGTGGCCAGGGTGGGTGGGGACATGAGCCATGAGGATGAGGAAAGTCTCCATCAGCCAGAACCAGTGGCACCTGGGAGATGTACCCTGGGGAACCTAGTGTGCCAGTCCTGCAGTGGGTGTCAGATCAGGGAGGCTCAGAAAGAAATTGTTCTACCCATAGAAACAATTAGATGTTTAACTTATTGAAACCAAAACCAAACTCTTGTACAGAGAAGAGCACTAGTTTGCTTCTGGAAATGTTAACGGAGAACCTTAGTTTTTCTCATTGAGAATAAATGGAAAATACATGAAAGGGTTAAGAGTTAATTTGGAAATGCTTGCTTGGAGCTAAAAAAAACTGGAGTAGTTTTAGTTTAAAAGGCTAGAGAGCAATCATTATAGTCTGCTCAGCTTAGTCATCTTATAGCAGCAGCTTGTTTCAGTCCTTCTCTAATTATTAGCTCACAGAACCAGTAGTTTGAGTAAAATGGATAATAGCTTATAACCCCTTGGCTATTTCTTTGTACTGACTATTCTGCCCTCTTTCCTAGCATTTATCTTCCAGATATATGAAGTCAGGCTGGCCTAACAATCTATTGTGGCCAGTTTTCTGTGACTGCATTCTAGACGCCTGCCTGAAGTCACAAGATATGCATTGCCTTAACAATCCCAAGGTGCCTAATGAATGTTATCAACACCTAGAAATGCATATGCAAAGAAACCTTTTACCCATTCCTTATTCTACCACAAAAGCCTTAGATTTAAATATGCCCTGTACCCAAACCATGCTCTTGAACCATGCTCTTAGTGTGGCAGAGAGGGCCTAAAAACAGCTAAAATTGTTCCTTTTTAAAAAATCAACCAGGCTGGAGGGGGCAAGATGGCGACCTGGCAACCCGGTGTCTGAAGCCCTCTGCAAGGGAGATCTGCAGTGGGTCTCTGACTCTCGCCCCCGGGAGGCTGGGGACCCCAGCATTGCAGCCTACTCCTCAAACAGAGCTCGGCCATCGCTATCACTGGGAACATCGCAAGGACTGGACATTTTTTACTGCATCGTCCTCTCCCGCTGCTGCCGCAGCCCCTCCCCCCACCAGCGCTCCCGCCGCCGCCG